CGGTGCGCCGCGTCGGCGCGAGCTTTGAGGTCGCGTGCCCGCCCACTTCCGGGGTCGCGCCAGGTCAAGAGTCCAGAGTCGACTGAAGTGAGTTCCCGCACTCTCTCTGGCGGCGAGACACCGGCCGCCCTCCAGGACCTGGCCTGCAGGAGCGGAGAGGGCGGTGTGGACACCGCCTGCAGGCGAGGAGAAGGGGTGGCGGGGAGGGTACCTGGGTGCGTGGCGCTGCGGCGACAGGAGGAGCAGTGTGTGGGCGCCCGGCGTGGGGCGTGGAGAGGACGCAGGGAACAGGTGTCTTCCTGATCTCCATCGAACTGAAACGTAGCCTTTGAGCACACACTGCACTTAAAGCTTTACTATTTCGGGGAGGATTCCTGGAAGCATACGTGATTTTATGACTATAGCATGGCGTGGTGTCAGTAACAGGCCCCGGATTGCTCAAACTCTATTGCCAGTGACAAAACCCAGTGTAAGCTGGCCTAATATATTAATAGTAATATGTGAGTCCTCCTGGGGTGCCGAGCACTGACGTAAGTGCTTTACTTGGGTCTTATTTCATCCTCCAGCAACCCAAAGAGCTGGTGGCGTCATTGCCATTTTACAGATAAGAACACAGGCTCATAGGTGGAGCGACTCACATTGTAAGCGATGGAGCTGGGATTTGAAAACACTGTATCCCGCCTGGCAGAAAACTGGCAAGGTTAGGATGGAGAAAGGAGAAAAAGGAAAGATGTCTGGGCCAGGTGCGGCAGTTCATACCTGTAATCCCAGCACTTTGGGAGGCCGAGGCGGGCGGATCACTTGAGGTCAGGAGTTTGAGACCAGCCTGGCCAAGGTGGTGAAACCCCATCTCTAGTAAAAATGCAAAATTAGCCAGAGGTGGTGGCACATGCCTGTAATCCCAGCTACTCTGAGGCAGGAGAATCGCTTGAACCCGGGAGGCAGAGGTTGCAGTAAGCCGAGATCCTGCCACTGTGCTACTGCACTACAGCCTGGGCGACAAGAGCAAAACTCCTTCTAAAAAAAAAAAAAAAAAAAAAAGGCATCTGATGAAAGGCTACCGATCTGATGAAAGATACTACCTGACACTGAGCTAAAACAATGTCACCTGGTTGGACCTAGTGACCTATTCCCATCCGCACCC